CCTGCAGCCCACGGCCACCCCTCGGGAACCGTATCTGGTGCCCACACCAAGAGGGGACACAAAGAGGGCAGCCCCACATCCTGGTCCTAAAGGTGCTCCCTTTCCCTTTCAAGAGCATCCCCATTTGGACAATCCATTAAGTGGGGACAATCCGTCCCCGCTTTAAGCCAAGGGACGTCACCGAAAGCCCCAGTGCAGGGATGAGACGCTACGTACAGCCCGACACAGACGAACATCGGGGCACTGTAGGAAAGTGGTTTCTCGCATTTTTTACTTCGGGTGTTTTAACCTTTTCTCATCCCCCTCCTGAATCAGCACTAGTGTTGGGGTCCCTCTTAGGGCAGGTCTCACTTGCACCCACGGGGGGACACGCTCCGGACGCCCGCGGTGCCTTCCTCCAGGGGCAGGGGCTCGCTGGGGGGCGCAGGAAGACACGGCTCACAGTCGAAGAGCGCCAGCCTCGGCTCGGATGAAGCTGACCTTCCTGGACTCCTGCAGGTCTCGTCTTCTGGTTTTTCTTGCCTTCGGTCTCAGAAACTTATCATAAAGGTGCCTACTAGATTTTCAGCCTCTAGTCCACAGCCGCACGTGCTGTCGGGCCCCCCACTCTACAGCCAGCGCAGAGGAGCGCGGACGTTTCGCGTTTCCGTGGTGCCCTGCCTCGGACAGGACGTGCTCACGTCAGTCCAGCAGAAACGAGAAGCAACAAGACCAGAATCCCAGACGAGAAATAAGGAGTAGGGGTGACGTGCTCTCGGCAAACAAGGGGTCTTGTTAGTTTCTTCCCTGCCCAGGCCCGGCCACGTGTCACATGCTACTGCCAGCAAGCAAAGACTGGGGACATGATCTGCCCCCGAGACCTGTTCCCAAGAAGTGTCGCTAACAGCCTTAAGAGCATCAGGAAAAAGTGCAGTAACCTTTGCTCCAAAACGGAAGAACAACGCTGCATTTTTACAGTCTGAAAGCTCTGGGAGCCAAGGGTCGCAGGCACTGAAAGCGTCTGAGGAAGGTTGGGGGGGCGCCGGGCACCTCAAAAAGTAACAGACAGAAGACACCAGCACGCGTGCCCCTGGACGCAGAAGACCCCCAAGGACAGCTGCACCTTCTCCACGAGAGCACCCACTAAGGAGAAACGGTGCCTCTGCATGAAACCCCAACACGGAGATGCCTGAGATACAAAGGGCAAACACGCGTCATTCCAGCTTGTTCCTCGGCCTCCGAGAAGCAGGCGGCCCAGCTGCGAGCAGCCTGGGGCCAGTCGGGGTGTGCGGCCGGGACCCGGGGCTTCGGGGACAGCAGGAAAGGCGGAGAGCAGCACACCTCATACCTACCTCACTCTTGTCTGCCCCCACCACTCCCACCTGCTGCAGACCTGACACACAGCTCACCGCTGCGTCTGCGCACGCCCGCCCTGGCTGTGCCGCCACTGCGTGGGGACACAGGGACAGCAGCAGCCTGAACCCACGAAGGGCAGGAGGCCCCAAGGGGTGGCGGGACAGGTGCTGGCGGGGCCCCTGCTCCCCCCCCAGCACACTGGCTGCACCTGCCCTGGCGATCCCTCGCACGCCTGCTACCAAGATAAGAGATGAGCAGGCTGGAGCGTCCCAGTCCCGTAAGATGAGCGTCACCGCCCCCAGGGCTTCCCTCGAGAGAACACAAGTCAGAGGAAGGGCTTTCCATCACGAGGCCAACTGCGAGGCCAAGAGCACTAAGGGGGTCTCCCTCCCTAACACCGTCAGGCGCGGGGCAGCCCACACCACGCAGCCCAGTGCTCCTCAGCGAGCGGCACCCACGCCACCCGCCTGCGAAGGGCAGGAGAGCAGTCAGGGAGAGGGCTGCCCTCCAGTCACCCAGCTTCCACATGGCGGGGGGGAGGGGGGCACTCGGGGAGAAGACGGGTCTGGGCGCAGGCGGCGGGCATCGGTGGCTCACGCGTGGCCGGGGTCCCCCTGACCGCAGGGCCAACCCCGACAGCCGGACTCAGCTCACCTGCACCGTGTCCAGAGAAACGAGGCCCGCCGCAGCCCGATGGAAGTCCAGTGGCCCTCACCGCGCGGGGGAGCAGCTGTGTGCACGCGCCCGCCCGGCAGACCGAGGCCGCGCACCCCGACAGAGATGCCTTTCCATGAATTCGAACCGAAATCGGTCGCGGTCTGCATTTTGCTTCCCACGCTCCCCCCCGGTGCATGTAAACGTTACTCCAGTGCGACCGTTCGTGCACTGACTAAAAGGGAATGTTGACTGTGTTTTGACTTTTCCGACCGATGAAGCAGCCAAGTATGTTACCTCGCTATTTTACCTTCTAGCCGGAAAACAGCTTCGTCACTCACGAAGTGAAAATTAAGACCTTCTCCTTGATGAATGTAACACTTGAAGTCGTACCGTTATTATGTATCTCGCTCTGTGAGAGCAGGGGACACTGTCAAGATTTACAACACTTTTGCTCCTTTTAGTAATAAATGTCATCGTGTGGAAACTCCGGCTCCCTGCATCGTGTCATTACAGCCCAGGGTCTTCACTGAAACCTCCTCAAGCCCAAATTTTCAGAGAAACGGAGTTCCTTCCCGGGGCAGAGCCCGTGTCACCCCGATGGCAGCCCTGCAGCCTCGGTCCCCGGCGGGAGGGCTCCGGGAGCCCAGCCCAAAGCGCACCCCCCACCCCGAGCCGGGCCCACCAGCCATGCCTTCTCCCCTCCACAGGCTCTGCCCCAAGGGCCTCACGGCACCTCTGTGCTCAACCTAGTTGGATCTCGCTTCTCCTGGGGGGGCCCCGAGAGAGCTTTCCCGTCTGAGGACCCCCTCCCGGCACACCGGAGTCTCTCCAGGCCGCCTCCCCGGTCCAGAGCCCTGGCGCACAGCTGTCGAGCTCCACAGGCAGGTCTGGTCCCGAGGGTCCCACGCCCACTCAGCAAGGGGAAACCAGGCCCAGCGCGGCCTGTGCCCACGGAGGCTCCTCAGGCCCCGCTGCCTGATGTCCGCGGCCACTGGCTGTGCGGGTCGGCGCCACAGCTTCCCGCGGGACACCACAGTCAGACCGCGGGTGGACGACCAGGCCCCGCCTGCACGCTGCACTGCCAAGGCTCTCGCAAAACAGAAATGCAGACGCCGCTGCTCCATACTCAGGAACCGCCTGGGCCCGTGAGACAACACGGGCCTATGGTGGCCGAGGCCTGCACACAGCCTGCCTCCCGGTTCAGAGCGCGCAGGGAAGCAGCGGTTTCTAGAAAGCTCCTTCAGTGCTCAGGGAAGTAAGCAGTGGACAGCAGATGAGTTTCTTGCTCACATGAGCCAAAGGGAGTCACATCCCCCTGGCCCCGTACTAGGGAGCAGCTAGCTGCCCCTCCCCAGCCCCCAGGCAACACCGTGTCCCCTCCTGCTCACCCCAACACACGTGGGGGGGACTAGTTCCCAACTGGGAGCCTCACTTGGGTCACCCGATCTAAACCCAACCTTATGCCTTAACTCCCCTGGGTGGCAGCCTGAGGTCCCTTTGAGCCCCAGGGAACAGCCCTGACGAGACCATCTGTCACCAGCAGGCCCTGGCCAGCCTCTAGCCCCTCAGTGTGTCTCTACTGCCAGCTAGCCACTGACTCCCCTCCCGTACAACTTGATAAAAAACCCGTAACGTGTCCAACTGCAATAAATACCACTCTTCCAGCTTTTTAGAGAGAAATGGAAAAACACTGTGAACGTAAGGACATTTGTTCCATTCAAGCCAATCCCAGAAATCTACCCCCTCGGGGCAGCCCTTTGGAACCTGCCTTCCTGCAGCACGGGCCACCCCGGGGCTCGGCAGAAGTCTTCACACCCCACACCCCCACACCCCTCAAGGAGCTCTGCAGGCGTCCAAGACGGCACAGCCAGCGGAGGAGCACCGTGCGCGAAAGGCACAGACTCAGCAGCGGGCCGCGGCACGGGGCTCACCAACAACTCAGCCAGCCGAGGAGCAGACGAGACAGGGTGTAACCGCAGGGTCCTTGCTGACCCGGAACACAGCTATTTCCAGCTGTTTTGGCTCCAGCAACACAGGGAATGGGAGCCTTGGGCTTCATACCAGCCACTCATGCCCGTGGCGGCCATCAGGGCGTCCGGAACCTTCCGTGGGGCACAGCCGTCACCGACAGAGAGCAGGGCGGGTGGGCGGGTCCTGCTCCTGGGGGCCCCCGCCATCCCAGAGCGCACAGCCACCTCTCCGCCCGCTGAACACCTCGGATGCGTCTGTCTGGAGTTCCAGTCTCAGGAATGCAGCAGCGGGGGCGGCTCCTTCTCCAGAAGCTTCTTTATTCATCCTCTCGGTCCACTCAAACTGAGTGTCCCAGCAATGACCCTGCGGACATGACGGCAGAAACAGAGACTTGTTTGTACACAGTTTCTTCAGGGGGTTTGGGACTTCTCTCTCGACTGGGCTGACTGCAAAACAGCCTCCTCCCTCAGACCTGCCCTATCCTAGAGACGATCAGAACACCCTGGTCTCTGACAACAGAATGCGGAGGCACAGCTGACAAGCTCTTCGGGGACCTCCCCGGAAAGCAGCCGCACAGCCAGGGCCGAGGGCCACATGTCAGGAGAGGGCACAATGGGCACCTGGAGGACCCGGGCGGTCCCGCACCCCAGCCCCGGCCCCCCACCAGCCGTGCCTGAGGGCAATCCAGCAGGACTGCCCCCCGCGTGTCCGAGGAAGACCCGGCCTGCCCCAGCGTCCCAGGGAAGGGGCACAGACACGCCCCTGGGGCCGGAGCGCTCAGCTTTTCCTCCAAACCCGCCCCACATCGACTGGAAGGGTACTGTGCTGCCCGGCCCCTGGCCCGGCCCCTGCGACGGCCTGTGGCAGACGCTACAGCCAGGGGACAGCTTCCGATTTCTGTCTGCTAAAAAGCCCCCCAGGCTCCGTTCCAGAGGCGTGACAGTCTGACGGGCTGAGGTCCCATTGTCGAAGCTGCTGGGGCTGAGCCGGTGAGCAGGCTAGGGGAGCAAGGCGCTGCTTCTGGGGCAGGTCAGCCCTCACCCTTCCACAAACACCTTCCGGGCCAGGTCCCGCTCTGCCACAGGTGGGCAGAGCCACTCTCGTCTGTCAGCGTCCCGGCAGTGACGGGGACGGCCTGCCGCGGGGAATGAAGAGGAGCCGGCCGTGTCTCTACAGACCAGCGGTACCGCATTCTCGCTGTAGGGGATGTTGAAGATGAAGAAAGGTGCCCGCTGGGACTTCAAGGCCCAACTTCTGACCCCAACTACACAATGAGAACCGGTCTCCAGCCACGCAGCCCGGAGCGGGCACCAGTGTGGACGTGCAGGCGCCTGAGGCTGCCACCGTGGTGGCCCTGCGCTGCACGGGTGCCAGACAGCAACACCACGTGGAGACAGTGGAGTCCCAGAGCCCGGGCCTCCCATCCTCCTGTCCCTCTGCCAACGACAACCTAGAGGGAAAGAGCGCAGGGTGGCTCTAGTGTCTCCTCCCGAAACCCACGGCAGGGCAGGTCTGAGGAGTCAGGGACGGTCCCTCCGAGGCCCGGGCGCAGCCAGCGGCACAGAACACGCACAGCCCCCCGGCCAACACAGCTTTATTTCGAAGACTGGCAGAGACACAGCGTGAAGGTGGCTGGGGTGCTGCCACCGACGACTCGGAAATCACAGCGGGGCCCGCAGGCTGATGACACAACGTCCGCCGGAGCACGCGGCCCCTCGTCTCTCAGTGGGGAACCGCCCGCCCCGCACCCCGCCTTCTACCTCGTCTTCTAGGTGCTGCCTGCAGCGCGGGGGCCCGGCCGGCACCCCCGGGGGCCGCACAGAACATCAGCTCCGCCGCGGCTCCGCCCCAGGGCTGGCGCATCGGAAATCACAGCCAGTCCCAGTGACACGGAGGGGAAGGAGCCGCATCGCGCTCAGGTTAACTCCAGGGGTCGTCGTGGGAGTCGCCGCACAAAGCGTTTGCCACAGCGTGGGCGGCTCTCCTCTTGACGTGGGGCCCAGCGCTGTCCAGGGAGAGCTGCGCCCGCTACTGCTGGGGCCCGGGCAGGCCATGTGCAAGCTGCTCAGCGGGCAGCACCGTGCGTGGGAGCAGCTCCGTGGGGAGGGAGCGGGCAGGAGGGGGCAGGAGGGAAGCGCATCGAGCCCAGGATGGAGGCCCGGGTCAGGCAGCTCCAGAGGCCCCCCGCTCCCCACGTGGCGGGGTGAGCACGGGAGCACCCCAGGTACAGCCGTCGTGTGGCGAGGGCACTCTTCGCTCCGTCCCAGACACCAGCGCGCCGCACTCCACACATAAACGTCCTTTCACAAACTTAGGCGTCCCCTGAGCGGGCACCTGCGAAGCAAAACCAAACCTCACTGCAGCTGGAGTAAAGCACGAAAGTCTCTCGTTACCAGTAAAAATCAGGACTGTGGGAGCCAAGCGACCCCTGAGCTCTGGGTCTGGCGTGGAGCACTTGGCTCTGGAGCGGCGCGGCCACGGGCCTCCTGCCACCCCTCGCCGGCACACACGCCACACTCACCCCCAGCCTCCGCACCGCTCTCGCCGCTGTCCTCGTCCTCGTCCCCGCCCTCGGCACTGTCGCCCTCACTGCTGTCCTCTTCAGAGTCTGTGTCCTCCAGCCACTCCTGAGCTCCTGGAAAGCAAGACGCACGTTCTGAGCGTCGGCGTGGTGGGGCGGCCCGCTCACGGGACTCGGTGTGGACGCAGCTGAGCCCTGGCACCGCTGTATGCTTGGAGGAAACGCACTGTCTCTCGGTGTCCGAGTGGAGGCGGGTGAGGGAGACGGACCAGCGAAGATGTGAGACCGCGTCGCGTTCTCTCCTGCTCCCCGGCTCACGGCTGGTCTTGCAGGAAGATGGAGGAGCCTCAGAGCCATGGAGTAACTTCCCCAAAAGTGTGAATTTTAACTTTATTCCTAGTCTCCAGCCTTAAAAAAAGGAGCAGCGGCTTGCATCCAGCAGCTGCCTGTGTGGGACGTGGAGGTGAGGGACGGAGCAGTGCGGACTGGAACAGGGGCAGCTGGAGGCTCCCTCATGTCACAGCCGGGAGGTGGCGATCCTCGGACCGGGGGCTCCGGGAGGTCTGTTCCTGCATCGCCCCTCGGAGCAGCGCCAGGACATGTGAGGCTCCTCGCAGTGCTGGGGCCGGCGGCCCACCCCCTTCCGCCCCCGGGACAGGGTGACTGGGGCCCACCGAGGGGAGGGGCAGGTGGGCTCAGTGGCACAGGGCAGATGTCGGGGGGGGCTGCTTGCAGGCAGGGGTGGCAGAGGCGCTTTGATGAGGTTCCCGCCCCACCACGAGGAGGAGTGTCCCTCCGGCCCGGCTCACCTGGATCCATCTCCACCAAAGCCGTCCACTCCTGCATCTTGTGCAGGTCCAGGCAGTACAGGTCACCAAGCGTGACCTGGCGGTCACCTGCCTCAAACATGCCCCCGTAGAGGTAGAGCCGCCCGTGCTTCACGGCCAGCATGGCGTTCGAGCGGGGGCTCGGCCCCACCACGGGGCCACTGGCGTTGTCGGGGCTGTCCTCCTCATCGGACGGCGGCCGTCCAGCCGAGCCCGGGGCAGCCAACGTCTGTCTGATGGTGACCACAGTCCCATCCTCTGTGACCACCTCTCTGACCACCTCCAGGGGCCCCTGGGCTCCAGCCCCCGCACACTCCTGCTTGTCAGCACTTTCGGGCTCTGTGGTTTTGCCCCGCCTACGTCTCCTCTTCTCTGACTTGGGTCCCTGTTGATAAAAAGCAAGGCCACGTGTTCTACCCACAGACAGTGGGGAGCAGGCAGTGTCCTCAAGTCCCAAGGGGGGCTGGGCCACACCAGAGAAGCCCCTGCCGCAGTTCAGCTTGGGGGCCCGCAGCCCCCGACCAGGTGTGACCCCTGAGAGAAAGGCAGAGAGCCCAGGCGACCAGACACTGGCCGCACGCCTACACGGTCAGCTGCAGAGGCTCTGCAACCACAGGGAGTCCCTGCCGGAGTGGGCCGCCGGCCCCATGCGCTCATCTAGACCTGAAGCCCCAGGGGGACCCCACTGCGGGCATGGCCACCTGGGGACCCACTGTGGCATGGGTGGACAGAGTACCCCCGGGGCCCCACACACCATGGGACCCGGGAGGCCCCGGCAACCGGAAGCCTCACCAGAAGAACCAGCCGCCGCGACGGAGGGAAAGCAGGTGCGGCCCTGCCCGGGCTGCGCACTCCCGGCCCGGCTCTACCTTCAGCTGCGCTGCAAACCAGCGGTTCTTGGTGGCGTCATAGAAGTGCAGGTCATTGAGGAAGTCCCCCTCCAGGCTCTCCTCCTCCTCCCTGTCACAGACGCCCCCAAAGAGCAGCGTCTGATGGTTTGGGGTCACGGCCACCGCGAAGCCAGACCTCGGAGTGGGCTTGGCCCCCGCAGGATTAATCCGGGTCCACGTCCACTTGCCTGTTGGAAGAGAGGGAACGCGGGGTTAGGGGGAGCTACTGCAGGCGCAGCCGGGATCGCCCGACCCCAGTGACTGGGATGGGCGGAAACGCAGAACCGCAGGCAAAAGGCCACAAGTTCACTCGTGCGGAGCCCTCCACGGAGACAACACAGTTCATCATGCCCCAGGGTTTCACCCTGCTCCTGCGTGCACTTAGTGTTCCCACGTGCTCTCCGAAAGCCCCCCAGCCGAGCACGCCCCAGTGGGGGCTCTGAGGCCGCGCAGGAGCGAGGCGGGCAGGCCGTGGTGACAGGAGAGCCTCGCGCCGCGCCATGCCCTGCCTGGGGAGACCGCGGACCCAAGGCAGCTGCTCCGCGTAGGAGCCTCAGAACCACAGGCTCCCCTGCAGCCAACACGCTCACTCTCCGTGCCTGGTGACCGCGGTGCCCCACGCCGGCGGTCCGGAGCCTGACGCCCGGGTGCATAGGCTGAGCCCATGGGCTCAGAGGCTGGTGCCTCGAACATAGTCCAGATCCAGCTCTGGCTCCCAGATGTGCACACCAGGCAGGTTTCTCCTCGGCTCCAAACCTTGGTGCCCACAGGGGAAAAGGCAGATGTCCTCCTCGGTCACTGAGGGGCCGCAGCGCTGGCTTCCTGCGAAGTGCCCGGCTTCACAGAAGTCAGGGCGGGAGGGAAGGAGAGGCACTATGCCCTGCCAGCCCCGGGGCAGACCCAGGACCAGCTGCACCACCGGGGTCCGGCGCAGCTGGCTCACCCCAAGACTCACAGACAGGTCACTACCGGACTTTCTGAGCTTTAGAAAGCAAACGTGGGGGCCAGTGGCCCACAAGAACCATGCCCAGATCCCACATCCCGGCAGCCCCTGCTCTGGAGTGAGGACAAGCCAGAAAACGGCAGACAGGAAATGGCTTCCACCTGCTCTGAGGGGAGCTCCTGGGTCAGCGCTGCTTGTACTGGCCATCCCCAACACCCGAGGGCAAGCACACCTCGATGGTCCCCGCCACGCAGACACCTGGGGTTATTCATGGAGCCCCCAGCCTGCCTGCTCAGGCAAGGACTCGCCCGTGACTCGGCACAGTGCGCGGGGCTCGCCGCCACCCCCAGACCCCAGGGCCCCCTCCACGGGGCAGGCGGGCTCTCGGATCTCTGCCCTGCTTCCGGTAGGAGCCTGGGCCCACGCCCATGGCCCACGCCCACGGCCCAGTGCCTATACCTTCTCTTCCATCCTCGGGCTGCAACAGGAACATATCTGAATGCTGGGTGCCTCTGTCCACATCCTTCTTGACTCTCTGCAAGAGAAACAGGGAGCCATGTGAGAACCGGCTGGGTGCTACCTCCGGCGCCCCGCACAGCCCCCTCAAGCTCACGGTCTGGCTTCCTGTCGGGGTGCGGTGAGGATACCTCCAGAGCCTTCCTTTGGACCAACACCCCAAAATACCGGACCCACAACCAGTTCAATTCTGACCTCAATGAGCAGATTATGATAAAAAATGCTGGTATGATTTACTAACCAAAAACGGACTCTGCTACAAACTCACCCTTCTTAACCAGCACCATCATGGCAGGGACACTCCAGTGCGCTCTTACGGGAGCATCTGCGGCTCTGCAGCGACCCTGTTGTAGGTGGAGGGGCCCCTCCCCCAAGGCCACTGGAAAGTTCCATCGCAGTTCCCGCGTGTCCCCCGCACCACCATCTTTCAATCCACGTGCTCAGGCTTCCCCGCAAAATCACACACACCGTCCAGCCAGCCAGTCACTACCATTTCACAACTTTCCTGAGCATCTCCAACAACGAAACCAAGGTTTCTCTGCCCCATCGGCCGCGTGGCCCCAGGCCCCCCGGCTCTGGAGTGGAGAGGTCGCAGCTGGTATGATGCGTCTCCCGTCTCCCCACACATCCCAACATTTCTCTCAGCACTGCACGGGGCTACGCGCTCACAGATGACGCACCTTCTCTCGCAGCACGCCACAGGGCACGCTGGCTCCATGACTCACCACTGCTGCTGATCCTGGTCACCGGGCTGTCACGCCCACCCCCCAAGCCCCCAGCCCCCAGCTCTCCAGTCCTCCAGGGCAGGTGCGGAGAGGGCAGCACGCTCCCTCACCAAGGGCAGAGTCGGCCCCACAGCTCACGAGGAACTGCCCCTCGCCCCGGACTCGTTTTTTCACTCAGTTGTTGGCTTACATGTAATCAAACGGACTCACGGAGTTTTACGTCACACCCTGAGCTATAATCAAAGCTGCTTTCCTTACCTTTGTTGCTTAAACAGTTCCAGCTTTGGCCACTGGGAATCCTTTCAGGAGCTCCTGTGTCCATCCGACACGCCCCCTTACGCGGGTTTCCTGGGAGCCCTTCTGTGGGAGGGGACAGCACAAGACCCCCCAGCCTCATCCCTACATTTTTTGACCCAGGCCTACAATCAGCCATTTCCCCAAGGAGCCCCGGGTCCTTTCACTGGAGATGGTCAGAAACCAAGATCTGGGCGCCAGGAGTGCTCGCTGCTGCTGCTACACACACCCCAACTTCTCCACCCAATGCAAGGTAAGATCAGGAGACACGTGCATGTCTTCTCCTCTCAAACACGGGTATGCGTGTACTACAGCGGGGAGAAGCTGGTTTCCTTCTGGAAGACAAAGCCACGATCCAACTGTCCACAGACGGGACGTGCGACCTGCAGGAGGTTTGGATCAGCCGTGCAAGGGAACCAGCCCGCGTCTCCGGAAAGGGGAGCCGGGTGTGCCTCTCTGGGGCTCCCTCCAGACACACATACAGGATTCAAGTGAGGCGATGTCTGTCTGCACAGCAGGAGGGGCCGCCATTTGACACCAAAAGGCCCGGCGCCTGCCGGAGCGGCATTCACACGCAGAGGCCCCGCCCGCAGGGGGGACCCGGAAGGGGCTCAGGGACTACTCCACCTGGGCAGAGACACACACCACAGCTGGGCCGCGGCCCCCGCACGGCTGCACCTGCTGACCTGCGTGCCGTTCGGCTGCCGGCAGTGGTCAGAACCTGCTCCATGCTGCACGGATGAAATGCCTCCTCTCCAGGCCCACCAGCCAGATCCCTTCCCGAGAAGGGTGAAGCCACAGGTCCGGGGCCACGGCTTTGGGGCAGGCTGGCACACAGGCCAGGGCTCTGGCTGGAGGGATGCATCGCACGCCTTTGGACCAGAGCGCACTGGCCCTGGGGCTGCCCGCCCCACCAGCTCCCCAATTCCTCCCGTATAACGGTTTGTCCCCAGAGGGTGGGGAGAGGGTCCACACAGTGCCTGCAACCAGGTCGAGAGTCAAACAACGTGAAAAGGACCACGTGGGAGAAGCACCTTCAAGGAACCCGCGTTCCCAGGGCCACAGTCTCCTCAGCACACCCCGACCGGGGCCTGCGGAGACAAAGGAAGACCCCACATGCCCTTGGGAGAAGGTGCTCCCGCAGCTCCCAGAGAGAAGGGGGGCACGGCGGGGCAGGGGAGCCCACAGCCTCACTGTTCCTGCCCCGACGGCAGAGAACCGGCACGGAATCACCCACAGAAACGAGCCCATGTCCAGAGCTGTCCTCCCCGACGGCAGGAGGAGCGACTTTAAAACCAGGCACAGAGGCCGGCTCACCGGCCTGACACGGGGCAGAAGGCCCTGCCCCCCTCTAAGCAGCCAGGGTTGCCAACCGGCCACCTCAGCATCTAGGCAATGGGAGGTCCCTTTCTAAAGTCAGCACAATCTCATCCCGGTTCCCCTGGATTCGCAACAGCAAAGAGCTCTCGATGCCGTCCGGGGACAGCTGTGGTGCTCAGGCGGCCGTCTGCGGTGCAGGAAACCACCAAGAGGCCGCCTCTCCCACCGCCCAAGTTCAGACCCTGCCCCGCAGGCCGCCCCAAACTGCTTCCAGGGCATCGGCGCCGGACGCCGTCTGACGGCTGTCCGCCCAGCTCGCCGCCATGGTGCCCAACGGCGCCTGCCCTGGGCGGGGGCTCGGGGCAGGAAGAGTCCGCCAGTGCAGGCTCCGGGACCTGGACGTGTGCTCCAGTCAGGGCTCAGGCAGCCCGCCACCCACTCGGAATGACTCCAGTATTTCACAGCAGCCAGAACTCATCTTCCCCGACTGGGATCAACCCCATGGAGCCAAACAGAAGTTTTCCACAGGGACGCAAACAGCAGAGGCCTGGCGCAAGTGACCTGAGGGAAGGGCCTCGGTGGGCCCACAGCCCTGCCGGCACCGTAGCCAGAGAAAGCGGCTGCTGAGAAGCCCTGCTGGGAGCAGGCAGCATGGCTCTTCCAAGGGTCACGAGTGTCACGTGAGTCCCTTCCGCATCCCACTCGGGCAGCAGTGAAGAACACGATGTGGGCGCAAGCTTCCGGCCGAAACAACCTGTTTCCTGGGCCTCCCGTCGAACACCTGGCTGAGGCCAGAAAACCAACCTAGGCCCTCTTTTCAGAACAAAGGCTGACCACTTCCTGAGTGGCAGAGCCGTGTCTCACTGGGGCGAGGCGGGGGAGGAAGAAGGCAGAAGCGGGACGCTGCCCCACTGCGAGACAGACTCCTTGCCTGCGCCATCCCAACCACCCACAGGGGACCTGCTCAGCCCCCAAGTCAGAGGGCCCGTTCCATCGTGTGGGAAATGAAATCGAAAGCCACAGTGAGACACCACACATCCGCCAGAATGGCCAAGAACAAAAAGGACTGGCAGCATCAAGGGTGGCCAAGGGTGTGGGCGACCGGTGCAGGAAAGGCTGCGACACGCTCCACCCTGTGACCCAGCAGTCCCACTCCTGGATATTTTCCCAAGAAACCAGAAGGCAAAGCCACACAGTGACCTGCACAAGAACGCTCAGAGCAGCTTTGTTCCTAATGGTCAAAAGCTGGAAACTGCCCGGTGGCCGCCAGCAGAGAGCCGAGAAACTGCCGTGGTGGGACCTGCTTGGCATGAAGCCGCGAGTGACTCTGTGCGACAGGGTCGGACCTCGAAAGCACGATGAAGGAAGGATGTCTTCCTCCACCGAGCACATCTGTCGGAAGTCCCAGAACAGACACGTTGAGGACAAGGGGGGACAAAGCAGACCCCAGCACCTGCCTCTGGGAGGGGGAAGGGCACGGCAGAAGAGGGCTCCCCAGCCCCGACACGCTCGCCTCTGCGACGGGCAGGTACACACTTAAATCGAGCACATCACGGCAGAGAAACCGTACATTCAAAATGGGACTTGGAGTGGTGCCCAACGGGCTCAGCCAGAGGAACATGCGCCTCTCGATCTCGGGGTCACGAGTGCGAGCCCCTGACAGATGCAGAGAGAATATAAAATAAATAAAGTTAAACAAACTTGACTGCTAACCTCCACGCGCTGCTCCGGCGTTCAGAGGGAAGGGCCTGATGCTGCACTTTTCCCTGAAATAGGCCCAGAAAGATGACGGCGGACGCGAGGACAGCAGAGCGCTAACTACAGAAGTCCGGGTGGGCGGGCGTTAAGGGCTCACTAATTCTTTTAAGTCACTTTGCGCTGGAGACATTTTCAAACCCTAAAGACTAAGAAAAAGTCTGCAGTGAGACACCGGCTCAGCCCTCTGGGGCTCCGAGGCACGTGCCAGCCGGGGCGGGGCCTCGGGCAGGCACAGATGCCAGGCGGGACGCATGTCCCCGAGGGGGACGCAGGGGCGCTCCTGCCTGCCCACCTGCACTGCCCGCGCCGGCGGCTCTAACGCCACAGTTGCCAGACCGCGGTAGCTGGCGTCTGGGGCTCAGCATGAAGAGCCCCCGCGCCCCCCAGACGGAATCACGCACGCTGCGGCAAGCCGGCCACGTGCGTCACCACACAGTGTGGCTTAATACGGCTGAAGGAGTCTTCGTACATTCACGGGGGAACAGGGGAACGCTGCATCCATTTCCACTTCAACAAAAAGTGTTTCTAATAAACCAATTCACAATCCTATTTGGAAGTTTCCCTTCCTGGTGACAGTGAAAAAGGCCAGAGAGGAGCTCCTGGTTCCTGCCGCATCCTTACCTGTTTCGAGTAGCCCCCGTAGATGACAATGCTGCCCTGAGGGGTGACGGACATCTGGCAGCCCGATCGAGGTGTGGGCCCAGCCCCCGATGGGGACAGTCTGCTCCACGTGAACGTGTCCAGGTTAAAGAAATACACGTCATTGTAGTAGATGTAATCTCTGGTTATAACACAGGGACACAAACAAGGAGGTGGGGACATTAGAAAGTGAACCTGATTCAAATTAAAGGTAAATTTTCTGCCATTTGTAGTAAGTTACTGGTTTCATTAAAGTTTAAATCCACACGAAGGGACCATGGGCATATGTGAGTTTGCACCTGGGAACTAGAGATAATGCTACCTTAGGGAAACACGGTAATTTGCCTAGAGCTGAAAGCCTTTTTAGCCTGAAAGTTATACCAAACTTCCTTACAAAGTTTACAAAATCACAATCTTGCAAATCATTACATTAGGTTACCATGTGTGTAATTCTACAGAGCCAAGTGCATACTCAGGAAGGAGACACTCAGAGCTGGGCTAGAGCTGGGTGGAGACCCTAAGCCAGGCTGAGCATTCCTGATACTGGCGTGCGTACAGGCCCGTGCCCGGAGCCCAGCAGCTGGGCAGTAGTAAGGGGGCCTTGCCGCTGTGCCCTGCCTAATGCTCTTGGGACTTAAGTGGCAAAGGACTTGAGCACAGACAGGACCGTGAGCAGGAGCTTGTGCAGGGGAAAGCAGCGGCTCGAGGATGCGGTGTTCCGGTGTCGTGTCGGACAGCCACGGCCTGGCGTGAACACACACGGAACACACGATCACGGTGGCTCGTACCAACACGGCCACACACAGGCACGTGGGAGGCCCCTCTTTAGACAGCACCGCTCTCGCCATGGTCCCCAACACAGACAAGTTCAATTTTAGCCCAGAGGCTCTCAGAGTGGGGTCCCCTGGCCAGCAGCACCAGCGTCACCTGCACCTTTGCTGAAAGGCAGATTCTCAGACCTCGCCCCTACCGAGTCAGAAAGCAGAGGGGGTGACCCGGCAACCGGACTTTCCACAAGTCCTCCGGGCGAGTCTGTACCAGGGTAAAGGCGGAAAATCCTGAGTTACACAGGATCGGCCCTATCACTTCCAGGTCTCGGTGTAAAACAAGGATGCAGAGCTGCCGCTCAGTACTATGGACTTCAAGACACTGAGAGCAGAGCACGGGGGCTGCTGCTTTGCTGCGTATCCACGGAGCCGGCTCCGGTTTTCGGGACGGGCAGCACTTCCTGTGCGTGTTCCGAGTGGTTCTTCCCACAAAAAGTCCGCTCCTTACTGTCCCAGGAAAGAAAGATAGCTCCGGGTGGTACCAACCTTGTACTCTCATGGAAGCCACCAAAGAGGACTAACTGTCTCTTCCAGGCCACCATCCGATGTCCGCTCCGGCCCGAAGGGCCTCCCGATGCTCTGAAATGGGGAAGAAAGAGACCACTTTTTACACCGAGTTCTGTTTCTTGAGCACTTACCGAGAACCGTCTAACTTGACCACAGGTAACCCAGACGGTCCTGAGTCTACTAGCTCCTACAAACATGGAGAACCAAACAGGAGACCGTCTCCAGGACCCTGGAGTAAAGCCAGCTGAGCACAAACAGGGCCTTACAGAAACTGGACTCGGTTAAAACTGAAAACCTCAGCTCTTCAAAATAAACCATTACAGAATCAAACGACAGGAGACGGAAAGTGGGGGGAGATTTCTGCACTCACCTGACCAATGACTTGTGCCCAGAACACGTAAAAGAACTCTTGTATGTTTTGAGTAAGATAAACCCAATACAATTATAGGCAAAGACAGAACAGAAGGCTGAGACAAAAAGAGGAAAGAAAAGACACACGAACGGCCAACAAAGACAGCAAGAGACGGTCACCTGCCTCCGCCATCAGTCGTTGGGAGTGAAAGCCCAAAGCACAGTGTGCTCCCTACCCAGGCCACTAGCAGCCAAAACCCAACGACAGGCTCAAGTTCTCCTGAAGCCACGGGCCGAGAGCCGGCTCGTTCGCACAGCACAGCGGCAGGGGCAAGGTGGCACGACCACCGCGACTGTTCCTTACACCGTGAGACGTGCTTGGCACATGACCTGGCGATGGGATGCCAGATCCTCACTCAGATCTGGAAACACAAGTGCATACAAAGACCCACACACACACTGAGAGAAGCTTTACTCCTGTCAAACACCGGAAGCGGCCGAGATGTGCCTCGACAAGGGAGTGCATCGAGCGTGTGCGTTCATTACGATGGACTACTTCTCGGCAACAGGAGGACAGTGCCCTGAGACATGCCACGTGGACAGGTCTCAGACACAGCACGCCCAACAGAAGCCGGCAGCCGAAGAGCACGTACTGTGGGATTCTGTGCCCAGAAGAGTCTTTTTTTATTAATATTCTGTTTCTGTATTTGGCACACGGAATGAGAGAGCACAAGCAGGCAGAGGGACAGGGAGAAGCAGGCTCTCCGCTGAGCCGGGAGCCAGACGCCGGGCTCCATCCCTGGACCCCGAGATCATGACCTGAGCCGAAGGCGGACACTTCACTGACTGGGCCACTCCGGCGCCCCTAGGAGGTTCTTAAAAAGGCAAAAGTCCATCCATGGTGATGAGAGTAGCTGCCTAGGGCCAGAGTACAAGGGGACTGACAGCAAGTGGGCAGGAGAGAACTTTCCGGACGGACGCACACCTCATCTGTCCGGAGCACGGCGGTGGTCAGGCAGTTCTGTGTATTAGCGGAAACTCCTCTCTAACCGTTCAGCTAAAAGGCCGTCATTTTACAGAATGTGATTTTATCTCAATAAACCCGACATAAAAATACATGGGATAAAGAACCGAAAGACGGGACCTCCGAGCTCTGGTCTGGCATCAAAGGACTTGGAAGTCCCCACTCGGTCCCCGCAAGCGGGACGCTGAGCAGACTGAAAGTCACTCTTCTGACTCACACACAGGTCGAACTGCGGGCCCCGAAGTAAAGGCCGCCGGACGAGCACAGGAGCTTCTGGAAGCAGAAGCTCGCGGGCAGACGCGGTCAGGAAAACCTGCACTGGACGGACACACTGCAGGAGGCTCAGTGCGGCCACACGCAGAGTGGGACGCTCCAGGGGGACCTGGTCATGGGGCCTCCGTACTGGGAGACTTACCCAAGGGGCTCAATCGTCCTCCCACAGAAGTGCCACCAAACAACACCTCGTGCTTCCGGCAGCAGCAGGGGACGGGGACACCGAGCATCCGTACCCTCAGGGGCAAGCAGCGACCCGGGGCCCACCACACGGGGTGCAGTGGTACCAGAGGCGCACGGACCCGAGGAAGGGAGACGGCCGGCTCCAGCTCCGTCTGGGCATGCGGCCCACCTACGAAGGGAGGAGAGAAAGCGAGAGGCCCTGGGGAAGTTCCAGGAGGGAGCCGAGCCCTCCTCCCAGGACGCGCACCGGCCCACTCACACGCCTCGTCCCGGCCGGTAATCCCAGCCCGCGAGCGAGGGGACGTGTACGAGGCGCGGCGAAAGGCAAAAATCTGCCCGCGGGTTCAGAGCAAGCACCAGAAGCAGACAGGCAGGGGTGCTGGGACCACGACACAGGATCTTAAAGCAACTGTGAGGAACATGCTTAAGGCTGCGACGGGTAAAGCAGAGGACATGCAGGGACAGGAGGGCAACGAAAGCGGTGAGACAGAAGGCCTAAGAAAGAACCAGAAAGAAATACGAGAGATCAAACTACTAACAAGCGCGGGGGCCCAGAACGGCTCCGATGGGCTTAGGAGCAGCCCGACACGGCTAAGAGCCCCAGAGCCAGAGGATACAGCAAGGAAAAGCTGGAAAACCCCAAACCACAGGGAACCAAGACCGGGAAAAAACAGAGGACAGTACCCAAGGGCCGTGGGGCAATTGTGTTACAGGCAAAACAGAAGCAGGACGGGCTGGAAGGAGAAGACAGAGGGACAGAAGAACAACACGCAACAGTGAGAAGTTCCCCAGACTGAACTCTGACATCAAACCCCAACGCAGGTCAGCGGACACGAAGCGGACTAAATGCCAAGAAAGGATACCAAGGCCTGTCATTTTCAAATTACAGAAAACCAAAGGTAAAGAAAAAAATCCCAAAAGGAGCCATGGGGAAGCGACACCTTACCTACAGAGAGACAAAGATGAGAATCCAGTCCAACTCCTGCTCAGAAACCGGGGCAGCAAGGACAGTGGACGAGGAGTTACAATGGTGGGAGAAAACCCCACCAGCACCCGACTCCGCGCTCTGCAAGAGTGTCCTTCACGAGCGAAGGAGAAGCAGGACTCTCCCCGACAAACCAAGATTAACGGACTTGGTGCCAACAGACCTGCCTCACGAGAAATGTTTGACAGTCTTCGAGAGAGAGAGTGAAAGACCATGTGTGTGTGCGTCGGAAACTCGAATCCACACACAGGAGGGAAACGGACTGAAGAAGGGATAAAGTGAAGATAAAATAAAAAAGTTTTCTTTTCCGGATTCTTCACCTCACAAATAACAACTGGTACACAGTGACAGTAGCAGCGACGTGTCTGACTGTGTGTGCTTCTCCACACACGTGTTCTTAAGCTTGCTCTGGGGGAGAGAGGACAGCAATGACACAAGGGACAGGGAAGGAATTAAGATTATGTCGCTATCTCAGTGCATCTGCACAACTCATGAAGTGGTACCACGTTATTGGAAGGTGGACTTGGGTCGGTTGTACACGTACACGGCCAACAGCAGGGCAGCCACCCAAAACAGCAGAAACGCTAGTATAACAGATATACTAAGAAAGGAGAAAGCTGGAATCCTACCACATGATCGATTAAAACCACAAAAAACACCCCAAAAAGTCAAAAGACAAACAAGAACAAAGGACAAGGGCGACCAACAGGACAGTGACAATACTGTGATCCAGTCTGCCGACAACGACGGTGAGCGCTAAGGTCTAAACCCACCATTTAATGACTGAGAGCGCCAGAGGGGATCAAAACACAAGCCCCAGCCATGTTGTACAAGGAGCCCACCCCAAACATGGAGACACACGCAGTGGAGGACACACAGGGAGAGGACGCACATGCCACCAGCCAACCAAAGAAAAACCAGAGTAACTGCATTTCAGAAAGAGCAGACGTCAAAGCAAGGGAAGTTACCAGGGATTTAAGCGGGCGCCACCTAAGTACACAGGGATGAACCCTCCAAAAAGACGGAAAGGTTCTCACCACGTACAAATCCAACAACAGAATGCCAACCGACAGAATGTCGAACTATGTGAGGCAAAAACTAACAGAATTGCAAAGAGAAACAGACTTATCTGCTGTTGCGGTGGGAAAACTCAATGACCCTCTCTCAAAAATGGACAGAGCAGCGGAAACCGAGAAGGACAGAGCTGAACTCAACCCGCCATCAATCAACAGGATATAACTGACATCCACAGACCACTTCATCCAACAATGGGCAAAAACATTCTCAAGCTCACTTAGAACGTTTACCATGAGAGACCACATTCTGGGCCACAAAACATACCATAATGAACTGAAAATAACAGAAGTAAGACAATGTCTGCTTTTAGACCACAGTAGGAATAAACTAGAAACCAGTAATAGATTGCTGGGAAAAGTCCCAAACACATAGAGGTTAAACAATATTCTTATAAATAACATGTGGGTCAAAGAAAAAATAGGAAACATCAAGAATATTTTGAACTAAATGAAAATGAAAACAATTTATCAAAATTTGTGGGATGCAGTGAAATCAAGTGCTTAGAAGGAAATTTGTAGGACCAAATGTACTAATTAGAAAAGAAAAAATATCTCAAGTCAACAATCTAATTTTCCACCCCAGGAAACTTGAAAAAGAAGCAAGCAGAAGAAAAGAAATAATAAGAATGAGAGCAGAAGGGGCACCTGGGTGGCTCAGTGGGTTAAAGCCTCTGCCTTCGGCTCAGGTCATGATCCCAGGGTCCTGGGATAGAGCCCAACATTGGGCTCTCTGCTCGGCGGGGAGGCTGCTTCCCTCTCTCTCTCTGCCTGCCTCTCTGCCTACTTGTGACCTCTCTCTGTCAAATAAATAAATAAAATCTTAAAAAAAAAAAAAGACTATAGATCAGTGCCTCTCACAAACACAGATGCACAAAATCCTCAATATTAACAAACTGAATCCAAGAAAAGTCTAAAGAGAAGTACACACTGTGACCAAGTGGGGTTTATGCAGATGTGCAAGGCTGGTTCCACATTCTGAAATCCATTGTCATAACCCAGCACATTAACAGACTAAGAAAGAAAAGTCACACGGTCATACCAACAGATGGAGGAAAAGCATTTGTCAAAATCTTACACCCATTCAGGATAAACTCTCTCAGCAATCTAGGAATTGAGGGGAGTTTTCTGAACTTGATAAAGATCTACAAAAACCCGCAGCTAATACTGTACTCGATAATGA